CCTTCACTATGGATTATTAACCAAAACAACACGAAAACTTGCTTATGAATTTGCAATGACTCTTTCTAAGCGCATTCCTAAATCGTGGAAAAGTTTGGAAACAGTGGCTTCGTGGTTTTATGTTACGTAAGAATGAGTTATCTTTAAGAAATCCAGAAGCTACTAGTATGGCACGAGCAACTGCTTTTAATTGTTATACAGTTGGAGAATTTTTCACCAATCTAAAAGATGTTCGTCTACGACACAAGTTTCAGCTACAAAACATATATAATGTTGATGAGACAGGTCTCACAACTGTACAAAAACCAGTTAAAGTAATTGCTAAAAAAGGAGATAAACAAGTTGGAAGGATAACTTCAGCAGAACGAGGGACATTGGTAACAGTTTGTTGTGTAGTCAATGCAATAGGAAACTCAATCCCTCCATTTTTTATTTTTCCAAGAGTTCATTTCAAAGGAAGTATGATAAATGGTGGTCCACCTGGATGTGTTGGGGTTGCAAACCCATCTGGTTGGATGAATGTTGCAACGTTTTTAGAGTGGATGAAACATTTTATTCAAAATGTGAAATGTTCACCAGCTAATCCAGTGCTTTTACTTCTTGACAACCACGAGAGCCATGTTTCAATTGTGTGTTTAGATTTAGCTAAAAAAAATGGCATAACTATGCTGTCCTTTCCACCACATTGTAGTCACAAGTTGCAGCCATTAGATCGGTCAGTTTATGGGCCACTGAAACGTTATTACAATGCAGCCTGTGATGATTGGATTGTATCTAATCCAAGACCGATGACCATATATGATATAGCTTCAGTTGTAAGGAAAGCCTATGCACAAGCTTTTACTTTGTCTAACATTTCTGCAGGATTTGCTGTGGCAGGAATTGAACCCTTTAATCCTAACATATTTTCTGATAATGAATTTTTATCAGACCGTCCAGAACCTATTACTGCTAACCCTTTTCCAGGTGTTGTTGATCCAGTTCATGCCCCAGTTTTTAATCAATCATTGATGTCAAGTCTGGTTCAGCTTGTAGTGTATTGCCTATTCAGCCTATATCTGACCCTGGAAGTCAATTATCCAGTGTTTCTAATAATATCTCTCATCAATCAAGTCTAGAAAAAATTAGGCCATTTCCAAAAGCTGGATCAAGGAAATCCATTAAAGGACGTAAACGTCAGCGTACTCGAATACTCACAGACACTCCTGTTCGAAATGAGTTAAATAAGCTTCAGGAAATAAAAAAAAAATCTCAGTCAAAAAAGAAAAAACATGAAATGCAAAATAAGATCTTCATGACAAGAAAAAGAAAACTTGATCTTGAAAGTAATGAAAATAAAAACGTTGAGTCTCAGTAAAAAATAACATTTTTTTCATTAATTTTTACTTTTTTAAGAAAGATAAATTTGTAGTAAAATTAATAATAATTTTATTGGTTTTTATTATAGACATTGTTTTGATGACTTAAAAATTATTCTTATACAATCATGGTATACATTTGATCTCGAATCAAGAATACATGCATAGGATCAAGGGTGCATATAGGTAGGATCAAGGGAGCATACTGGTATGCACCCATGATCCTAATTGAGCATTCTTAGTTTTTATAATTTTAAATCTACTTAAAATATTCTAGTAAAAAAATGATAATTGAATTATAATAAGGTATAAAATTTGCTATTATGTACTGTTATTTTAGAGATTGAAATAAAAACATATATTCAGTAAGTTGGCCTGATAGATTTTTAGGATCATGGGTGCATACTCTCCCCTACGTCTCCATTTTAATTATGTAATGCCTTAATCTATATCTAGCTACTCACTTATTTGTAAATTAATTATTCATTCGGATTATATTATTTATAAACATTTTTATTTATAAATATCATTTTTTTGATTCCTTTTGCTTGCTTTTCTTGATTCTATTTTAACTAACTTAATTATAAATTTGGATTATATTTAGCCGATATCACTAGGTTTTTTTAATAACTATATCCATATCTGTTTTGAATAACATGGGAATATTTTAGCATTCATTCTCCAAAGATGTAACTTTCTGTGCTGACGAACAGTTGTGAAATCTAGGTTTTTTTAATTCAAAATATTCCCTTTTTTATTTATTTGTCTGAATTTTGTGCCAATCTATTGCAAGAGAATTCTATATTAAAAAAACTTTAGTTTGACACAGACACCAATTGATAATATAATATAATAATATAATATATATTTTGCCATAAAGAAAATATTTACAAAATTAGACTTTAAAAACTGTATATACACGGCTGGGGCAAGAAGAAGACAAATTCAGTCTTATCGTCAAGCCCCTTCAAACAAGAATATAAGTAACAAACAAAACAAAAAACCAAAAAACCAAAAAAAATCCGTTATCACAATATAATATATGCGTAAGGTACATATATAAATACAAATATCTAAATATTTTTCATTAAAATTTAATTTTTTTTTATTTTTTTTTTTATTAGGATTTCAAATTTTAATAGTAAATAAAAATGAGATAAAACATGATAATTTAAGAAGGTAAAGATTCAAATTAAAATCAAAAATTAATATGTTAAAAATAAATTTAAATACCAAGTAAAAAACAAGTGATTTACTTACTCCTATTTAAAAGTTTCAGAAGAAGTCAAGTTCATTGTCAATTATCAAAAGTTTACTTTTTATTTTTATTTTAAATTGATTAAGGAAAGAAATTTTTTTAAACTCATTATCCAATAGGGTGTTCCATAATTTAGGTCCTCTGATTGCTATCGAGAACCTAGTCGCAGAATAATATTTTTTTGGTTGAATATAATTGTTGTTTGAAAATCTTGTTGGGTATAAATGATTTATTTTTTCGAAAAATGATTTAAATAAAATGGGTGCCATTTTATTATCTACTTTGAACATAAATATAAAAATATGATATAGGTTAAGTTGAAATACGTTAAGTATTTTGAATTTATTAAAAAGTAATTGAGTGTGTGAAAAGCGATTCACATTTCCAATAATTCTTAGAGCGTGTTTTTGTTTAATTAGAAGCCCTTTATTTTTAGATACGTTAGTGCTGCACCAAGCAACGTTAGCGTAATTTAGATTGCAATGAATAAAAGAAAAGTAAATAAGTTTTAAACAAGTTTGGTTCAACAACTGTTTTGCTTTGTATAAAAGGCCTATATTTTTCGAAATTTTATTTTGGATTATTCGTATGTGCTCCTTCCATGTTACGTTTTCATCTAAAACAACGCCTAGAAACAACAAAGAACTCTCTCTTTTGACATAAGAGTTATTAATAAAAAGCTTAGGAAGTTGTAAGGGTATGTTGTCTTTATCATGAAGACGATGGAAGAAAGTATATTTTGTTTTTTTAATATTTATGGACAATTTATTTGATATAAACCATTCGCTTAGTTTCACAAGCTCCTCGTTCACTGTTGTAAATAAAAAATTAATATCTTTACTTGAATAAAATACGTTAGTATCGTCAGCAAATAAAATTGAATTTAAGATATTGGAAAATTTACTCAAATCATTTATATAAATAAGAAATAAAAGCGGTCCTAGAATTGATCCTTGAGGGACTCCGCAGGTAATTGTCATCAAGTCTGATTTAAAAACGTTTTTTTTTTTACAAACTCATTCATTCCAACAAGGCTGCAAGCAGCAAGTATTAAGTTGGGAGTTACTGGAAAATAAAGAACAACGCTAAAGAGCAAGGAAATGGGTGATAGAAGACTTAAAAAGTCAAGGCTGTGAGTTAAAAAACATGAATATGGGAGTTCCAAAAGCTTGAAGTGCGAGGAATAAAACTAGACGAATAAAAGTTCATAGAACACGCAGGGATAGATACAGTAAAAGGATGTAACTTTGCTGAATAACGAGTAAAGTGAAAATGGTTTTGGTTGATGGAACTAGAGATGAAAGCTCCTTTAAGCAGGTCCATAATAATATATGCACTAAAGAGAAAGAAATGCAACTTTACCATGATGGAATAGTGGCTCAAATTTAGTAAATAAATCAGGTCCAGCTATCTTTACAATGCGTTTTTTAAACCTTGTTCCTATACGACAACATTATTCCATACGGGGAAGAACAACATTTTCCATACGGGGAAGAACAATTGCAGATGTTAACTTTGCAATAGATTGTATATATGGCTTCCATAAAAGGTCATATATGGCTTCCATAAAAGGTCATTAGTGAATGATAACCCAAGAACACGTAAAGAAGAAAACTCAGTGAGACGGCTGCCGTTCAGTAACACAGGAATTTCAATAATACTGCATTAAATTGTTTGCATTAAACTTTTTGTTGAAATTAAAATTCACAAGCCATTGCAAGCCCCAACCTAAACCAAACCTAACCCCAACCTGTTACAGAGAGAGATCAGATTCAAGATCGGCTGCCTGTTCTAAGCGATCGAAAATATTTTATTTTTTACTATTACAATATATATGTTCTTTTAAAATTTATAAATGGTAATTATGATAAAAGCACTTTGAACTGCATCAAATACAGCAGGGAATCCCAACCCTGTGCCCGTGGAATGATTTGTACCCGCCACTAATCGACAATGAAAAACATTATTTATAAATATTAATTAAAAATGTTAAATATTTTTATTTATTTCTTAGAGTTTTAATTTTTTTGAGTGCCTAGGTCTGTTAAATACGTTCATATGTTTGCGTTATTGTAAGTATGAGTGGTTCCTTTGCTGACCGTACTTGTCGCAACTTGGTTAGTTGCGTTGTCAAAAGCTAACCTCGAACGGGGAATGCTATTCGCACATCACTTCTTGTAAATGCAGAAAACTTGAAGTAGTATAGTAGTAAGCTAGTACCGTTCCGAATAAAAAAAGGTGGGGTCCATTACCCTACCGATACTTGAGAATGTGTTCTAAAGTACAAAAAGGTTGGGAACCCCTGGAATACGGCATACAAACTTTGGGCATAATTACTTATATATCAAGAATAATTACAAATATAGAGAGAAAAACAAACAAACATTTTGCAAAAATGTTATATTTTTCGTCTATGACTTACATACAAAAAATCAATTTAAAGGCGGTGTTACATGTTTATGTATATATGAAATAACAAATATATCGCTTTTTGTTTCAGTGAGAATCGCGTATTTAAATAGCATTTAAACATGCTTTAAAATGTATGTATTAAAAAAAAACTCAACTTTTACGTTGTATATAAAGACTCACGAAAAACGACAACATTTTATGTAAAACATTACTGCATTGGAGAACTAGATATAGGCTGTAAGACGCGAGCTTCCATCGATCGAACTAACGGTACTAAATTAAAACATCTGCATATTTTAACATTTAATAAAAATGTTGTACATTAAAAATATTAGTAAAACTTAGTATAATAGAACAGATGATGTAAAAAAAGAATTTGTTTTGACATTAAAATTTTAAGTTTTTATGGTTGTCTGTCCCTTAAGGTGAGTTTCCACTCATCCGGAACGGGATAGGGAAGGAAAAAAAAATCACGTGAGGATGCGTAGTTTTCCTTTAGACATATTAAAAATTATACTACGCATGCCCACGTGATTATTTTCCCGTCCCTTTCCCGTTCCCGTGAAAAAACGGGTGAGTGGAAACTCGCCTTTAACCAGTTAGTTGTTGCTTTTGTAACCAATACTTTCGAAAATTTAAATGGCATAATTGGAAAAACGGTTAATAATTTTTTTAAATTATATTATTAACAATTTTTTAAATTTGTTTAACTTTAAAGATACATAAATGCACCAGCAATGAACCTTTCAAATGCACTAGCAATTAATCTTTTAAACACGTTATTTAGATTAAAGTTTAATTTTTCTGTTCATATTTTTATGAATGGAATCCTATTTAAAATGATATCTGAAAAAATACCTCTATAATGAATATTTCTATCTTTGAAGTAATGAAAGATCTTAATTCTAATTGAAATGTTGTCTAAAAAGATCTGTTGCGTGTTTAAATCTTTAAAGTATCTTTTGCCCATTGGGGGAAGGGGGGTTACAAGCACATGTGAGTTCAAGTTGTTAAGCTAACTGAATTATTATTTGCTAAATAATTTAAAACAAATAAAATCAGTCAAATGTAAAGCAATACCCTATGTAAGAATTTGTCTTAAATATGTTTGAACCTGTTATTTGTAATATATGAGAGAATAACAATTATTTAATTATTTATAAACCAATATTAATTTACAATCAATATTATTTCAAATATAAATGAAGTAACATACTTGTTCCTGCAACAAGATCATCCCATCCAGGTGCCTCCCACATGTCTTCTCTCTGCTTTTTGCGATGTTCCAAATCATGGTATGCTAAAGCAAAAGAACCAAATGTATTAAATTAAAAAAAAAAAAAGAATCTTGAGTATTAATTTTCAAAATGATGTTTTGTACTTCAAAAATATATCTATATTTAATTTACCCCACATGTGATGAACTTCATAAAGATCTCCAACTTGAGAGAAAAAGCCACCTACTGCATCTTTTCGTCGAATTTGAATAGCTGATCCCCTATTATTTTGAACAAACACAACATTACTTTTAAATTAATCACTGATCCTTAATTAAAACCAAAGATGAGCAGAGTTAGCATTATTTGAACTATTTTTTATTTAACTTTTTAGCTTTTATTTAGCTTCTTTGGGCACATAGCCCTAGGGCACATAGCACTCTTGGGACTATTAAACCTGTAAAAGGGAATGCCTGCATGATTTAAATGTTAAATAAAGACTAAAAAAAATATTTACCATTTGTTTCCCCACTCAATCAAAGTACCTGGCTAAAAAAACAAATACCTAGGTTAAAACAATAAATTTTTTCATCTGTAAATTAATTTCAAATTAAGAAAAAAAAAATCAAACCTTAAGTCTATAACTTCTTAACTCATAGATGTGAGATGGACCTCGTGGTTGAGGAGTTCCCCAAAAACTAAATTCTTGAAGAAGCTGGTTTTTTCTGCTTTTTAACCAATGACCTCTCACTTGTTCATATTCTTGATATTCCTATAATTCACAGGATTCAAAACAAAAGTTTATCAAATATAAAATAATATAAAATAATTAACAATAATAAAAAAAAAAAACTTAAGCAAAAAAGAATATTCTTTTTATTGGGCATACACCTACCTATCATATACCTACCTGTCAATTTAACTATTTTTATATAAAATCAAGTTATATCTTTCTGAGTTTATTTTCATTAGCTTTTGGTTTGCTCTTCATTATATTGCTTTTCTTTTTATTCTTATTTTTTCTTCTTCTGAGATACTACACTCTTTTCTTTGTCTCTGACCTTTTTACCTTGTTCACGGTAATGTGGTTCAGATCATGCAATGATATCACAAAAATTTTCATTTCATATTTCAACTAACCTTTATTGCAATTCTTACTACTACCATAAAACTGAGTTCTTTTTATGAATTTCTCTTTTAGAATCTGCTGGATTGAGTTAGATATGGAAGTTTTTATTCTAACTTGTTGGTTTCAGGTCTTATTCTACCTCATAATTTTCTCTTTCTTGTGCTGCTATTTTTATTTCTAATCATTTTTTTTATCTTTTCAACAAGAACAATTCTCTGGGAAGTCAATGTCTTTTTACTATTACAAGAAATTGATGCAAGAAGGTATTGTCTGTGGTAAAAGGTTAATGCTTGGATGCAAAAAGGTATTGTCTGACAATAAGAAGGTATTGTTTGAAGATATGAAGGTATTGTCTGGTAATAAGAAGGTATTGTCTGATGATAAGGTATTGCTGACAATAAAAAGGTATTATCTGACAAAAATAAGATATTGTCTGAGAATAAGAAAGTATTTTCTGACAATAAGAAAGTATTGCCTGACAATAAAAAGGTTTTGCCTGACAATAAGAAGGTTTTGTCCGACAATAAGAAGCTATTGCCTGACAATAAAAAGGTTTTGCCTGACAATAAGATCAAATATTTTCAGACTACTAAATTTTGTGTTTTATTTCTGAATTTTTTTTAGAGACTTTTGAAAAATATGTAATAATGTCATTAAGAAAGACAATTTTAACATTTCATCTGTCATACATGAATCTGATTTAATAACAAAAGATAAAGCAGCTATATTTGCATAAATTTTTTAATCTAATTCATTTCTGGTGGTCAAACTCTTCCTGCTATACCAAATAAACAGGTTAACCTACTGTTAGACATCCAAATTATTTCTCTGTGGTGCTGACAATATTTCTGCCATAGTATTGTCCCTTCAAATCAGGTTTCAGCTTCAAAATCTGTTTAAATCAGGTTGTAGCTTTATTTATTAATACTAAACCTTTGTTAGTTAAGAGCAAAACACCAAACACGTCATACACCTTGCAAGATATTGATTACACCTTTGCAAGATATTGATTCTAGTAGCAAAACTTTGTATACAAAGATTTACAAGAAAAAATTTTCACCCTGCCCCCTTTCCTTTAATATTATGCAATGTCAACATGTCGAACGAGTTGAAAAATTAAATAAGCAATAAAATACCCATAAGTCTTAGAAATGTCCAGAACTCTTTTTATTACTCTCTAAACTATTTATTAAGTAATTAAATATTTATTAAATATTGCTTCTAACCATAACTGATTCTTGTTTACCATGGTTACTATAACTAAATCTTGCTTTTTTAAAGTTAGCATCTGCTAAGGTTGCCTATTTGCAGTACTCGCTAATTTCTCACTCCTGATTCTATTTCCATAACTTTTTATTTGTGTTTGTATGGATTACTGTTGTCATATTAAGGATGGTTCTTTCAAGCAATTCTACCTTTTAAAAAAGGTCTAACATTGTATTTGATATAAAAATGTATAACATTGTAAATGTTGTCAGATCTGCTCTAGCTTCCAAGCTTGAAGCTCTTACCTATTACCATAAAGTTGCATTTCTCTTTTCGACAATTACCTTGTTGCTTTCAGCTAAACTTTAATAGAAGTTACTTGCAATCTTGTTAGGAGTATATTCCTTTAAAAAAAGATAAATAAGATTTCAATATACTTAGATCTGCAAGAATCTAAAAAAAAAAATGTTTTGCCTTTGCTGTAATACATCTTTTGAAAATCTTCATTGTCTCAAATTATTGAATTGGATTCAAGTGTTTGAAACTTTTCCAGTATACAAAATAAGTATTTAAAAGAAAAAAAAGATTATTTTTGACAATTTTGTAGTAAAGTTTGAAGTGAAAGAATGTCTAAAATGTTTTCTCTCTTACAACCCTAAAAAGGAGAATACTCAGTTCAATCTAGATCAAAAAGGAAACACAAACATGTATATTCCAAAAGAGCAGAACCAAGCATTTTAGAAGTCAGTGGAAAATAAAGAAATTTGATTTAAGACAATGGATGAGGTAAAAAATGATAAAAGTAAATTTTTAAAAATTAATAAATCACTAAAGTTAAATATTATATATATTAAAATAAAGAAATCAAATCAACTTAAAAAGTTAAAACATGTTGAATTAAGGATATCAAATTTTTTAAATATAAATATTAACATATAAAGATTAACCAAACAAGTAAACTTAAGTAGAGAACTTTTATATTTACATAAATAGTTTTGAATAAATATTTTTTATATATAATCTCTCATAAACATCATTAGCAATCCTATTAAAATGAGTCAGGCAGAAAGTTTGAGATAAATAATCTAATCAAAACGTTACCTTGTTTCCATTCATATACCTAATGCTGTTCATTGCTCCATCATAGCCATCAGCATAAGACCAAATATGTACTAATAAAAAATGAAACATATTCAAAAAAATTACTTCTTTATATATTTTATAACATAAATATTATATTATTACAATGTTTTAATTTCCAAAATGAAAAAAATCGTAAAATTATTAGTGTCAAGATTTCTTTGAAAAAAATAAACTCTGCACTTTTTTTTTTTTTTTTACAGAAACTGATAAAAGACATAATTAGTACAATACTTTAAGAAACTACCTGCTTGGTCTAAGTCACCATACAATGTTGTCCAACTTCCTACCAATATTCCAGGAAAAGATTTGTTATTTGATAAACTTGTCATCATCAATGCACTGAAAGATAAAATTTTGTAGTTTAAAATTATTGAAGAACTGAAAAAAAAAATAATGTTTTGGTTACTTCAACACAAATCCTCCTTACTGAAGTTTGAATAATTGCAGTTTTTCTTTATACATTTTAACAACAAATGATTTTAAAACAAATTTAATTACGTTTCTTTCAAGTACTCTCTTCTAAACTCTGGCTTGACATTTTCAACTTTTGAAAAAAAAAAATAAAGTTAAAAAAATAATTTGAATAATTAAAACATTAATTTTTTTTTTTATATATATATTTTTTTTAAAGAAAATTGCACTAAAAAATTATATATAAAATATATTTTTTTACCAATAGATGCCAAGAAGATAAAAGCATGCATGTAATAAAAGCATTAATGCTAGCAATTTTCTACAGCAAGATTCAGAGTTTGACTTCTTGGTTTAAATTTTTGATTTATATAATTGTATGATAATAAAAAAGTTAGTTTATAAAAAACAAAAAACAATTTGAAAAAATGATGATAATGATAATAATAACAAGTGGTGTTTTCTTTCATTATTATATATTGGTTTTTCTGGTTTTTATATTTGACAAGATATATATACAAGATATCTCTTTGTAACAATTATGTTTGCATATGGTTAGTACTATTGTAGATTGTCTTTGTATTTTATTAATGATCTTTATAGGTAACCAAGTGCTGATTCCAGGTTTGATGTATGTTTCGCAAAGCTAGATTCATAACATTAAATTCTTTCATACAAATGTTTTCTTTAATACACTAAGTATTCTGTTAACTTAGTAACATAATTTAATTTATTACTAACATAATTTAGCTTACTTACATAATTACTAATATAATTTAGCTTACTAGCGCAATTACTAACATAATTCAACTTATTATTAACATAAGCATAATGATAGCAATAAGGATTACATTGTGGGAAGAATTATGTCAGCATTTTGCAAATGTCTTAAAAAATCAGCTTTAAAAATGACTTTATTAGCACCTATATTGTTCTTGCAACCCAAATATATTTGCATTTATTTTAATAGATACTAACCATTTTTTTCCTCTGGACTAAATTCTCCAAAACTTCATCTGCATGTAGACTGTCTTACTTTTCTACTTTTCTGAATAGAAAAGTAAATTTTAACAAAGTTCATCTATGATTCTTATGTAACCTGAAAAATGCTGTTGCTAGTGTATAATATATTATAAAATATTATATGAGTTCATAAAATTATTTATGAATTCATATAATAATTTTGAGTATAAAAAATATGTTTATTTAATAATAGTAAATATATTTAAAAGTAAATATATATTTTCTTTTTTTAACTTTTAGTTGCTGGATTATAAATTACTCTGATTGAAAGTTAAACTCAATGCTATGTTTTCGTGTTTACACCTTAAGACAACATTTAAAACACTACTTGTTTTAATTGTTGTCTTAAGGTGTAAACAGATTGTTAAGGGATAAACAGATTCTATCTGTTGTCTTAATGCATAACTAGATGCTATCTGTTGACCAGCCTCACACCCCTTCTTCATCTATTAGGTTGGCGCAGATATATTTGTAATACATTATTTCCAGTTTAGGATGTTGAATGCTGGATCTTCTTGTCTCAATACATGGATTTTGCTTTTGTCTCTCTTTTAATGACAAGGCAACTCATTAAATTATCTCCTAATGAGGGTACAGCTTTAAAACTCAGTTTTATGGTTCTGAAGCCGGCTGGTAGTCAGGCTTCCCAAGCTCTGTGGTAGCTCTCAGAGAAACTAATTCCATCAACAGCTGTAAAATATCAGAGTACTAACACTGCCATGTTGCGTATAGATGGTGTCCATGATTGCACTTTTGGTGTGCATTGTCAAGGCCACTATGGAGCCCTTTGTTACGACTAAAGGTTTATTAATAGTAATGAGGAAAATGCTTGGAATATTAAATAATGTACTGAGTACTATCTGAGCTTTGAGAAAAGTTCTTTAACAAATTTAAAAATGATTAAAGTACCAAAAACTTTAAAACTCCAAAAAACATCCATCATCACCAAGTTCCTAAATCTATCATTCACTAGAATTTGTGGTCTTCGAAGTAACTTTTCTTCTGTTGAGTCTTGTCTCTTGCAAAGTTCACCAGACCTACTTGATCTTTGACTAATTTGAGTTCGGCTGTCTCATCTTGTGATCTTAGGGTTGATGGTTATCTTCTTTTAATTCGTAAAAACTCCAATAATCGCATGCTTGGCCTGGGCATTTACATTCTAGGTTTGAATCCACAGACTATTCTTTTATGTGCTTTCGTTTAATACTACTTCACTCTATTGCCTTTCTCTTTGTTCTATATTGCTCTCCTTCATCTCAAGACTACACATTTCTTGGTCAATTTCACACCAAATTAACCGAGCCCTCTCTTTTTATCTTTCAGCCAATATTGTTAGAGTTGGTGACTTTAATGCTCATTACACTGAATGGCTTTGGTCTCGTGTCAGTGACTCTGCAGACATTAAGACCCACAACTTTTGCCTTATTCAATCTCTAACTCAGATAGTCAATTCTCCTACTCATTTTCCAGGCAATATCAATCATTTACCTTCACTACTCAACTTATGTCTTGTTTCTGATCCTAGTCAGTACTCAGTTCCTCCACATTTACCCTTAGGTGCCTCTAATCACAGTTTGATCTCTTTAAAACTATTATCTCATTATTTTTCATCGCCAAAATCCCCTTATCATTGCACCTATGCTAACTATCTTAAAGCTGACTGGGATCCTTTCTGTGATTTTCTTTGTGATGGCCCTTGGGTAGAAATCTTCTATCTTCCTGCTGAAAAATTTTTTTTTTACATAACTTTTTGGATTCAGGCTGGCAAGAATCTTTTATTCTCTCTTGACGGTTCCAAGCCTCACTTTTTTCCATGGTTTTCCTTGCATTGTGCTGCTGCAATTTCCAATCAAAACTGATGTTCTTCCTAAATTTATGAATGGTAATGTACTCGACAAGTCACCCTTAATCTACTAGGATTAACTCTTACTTTCAATCTTTCTTGGAAACTGTATATGAAATCCATTGCAAAATTAGCATCTGCTAAGGCTGCATCTCTTTATTGTGCTCAATACTTTCTTACTCTGGATTATATTCTTTATCTCTATAAATCTTAAATCTATCCTTTTATGGAATATAGTTGCCATATCTAGGGCGGATCTTCCAATGATGCCCTTTTTCTTTTAGACGAGGTGCAAAAATGCTTTGTAAACATAGTTGGAAATGCTCTTGCAGCCAACTTCCAAACATTATCATATCATTGTAATGTTGCTTCTCTTTTTCTCTTCTACAAATACTATAATGGGCACTGCTCCAAGGCATCTCTTTATTTAGTAACTTTTCTTTTTTTTAAAAAAAAGTTCTTGGTTTTTTTTGCATACTTGCTAGCAGTTTTACAAATAAAACAATTACACCAAATTAAACTTATCAATGGTTCCTTAGCTAGATTAATGCCAATGTAATAAAGCAATGTTGATAGATACCTTGTTGCAATCCTTTTTTTTTTACACAGTCATAGCACAGTGGTTAGTGTTTTGGCTCAAAACCAAGAGGCCTGAGGTTTGACACTGATTCTTTTAGAGACAGACACTGTCTCTAAAAGCCCATAAAGCGCCATTGGTAAGGAAGAATGTGTGAAGTTCCTTATTAAATGCTCTTTTGCAGTGTTTTGTGAAAAGACCATAAGGACTTCTGGGAGGACCATAATAACCACACAAATAAATCTATTTGACTTGTGCAGACAGTGTCTGCCTCTAAAAGAATCACACTTTATTATTGTAAAAAACCTTATTTGAATCAAAACCAGGCCAATTAAGTGTGTTATGTGTACTAACCATGTGAACTAACCTTCTCTGAATAAAATATAGTAGTGAAATAAATGGTAAATTTAGAAAATCAGAAGCCCCTAATTCAATTCTATATTTTAAATAAAAGTGCACTAAAAAATACAATAAGAATTGTTTTACTGGTACCATTAAATTTAACTTTTAAAAAATTATTTTTAAAAGTGTTTAAATAAATGGTAAACAGTTTTATTACATTTTTAACATTATATCTGAAGACTTTTTTTTGATTTTTAGTTCTATTTTAAACAATTTGTTATCATAAAATTATACTCATAAAAAATGCAGACTTTTTAATTATCAAAGTAAATTTGAAAAGTAACCTGATTGTTTTTTATTATTTAAAGAAATAAAAAAAGCTCAGGACTTCAAAAGCTAAATAAATATCTATTCAGTGATTTTATTATTAGCTAAATATATTTTAAAAAAATTCCTACTATTAAAATACTTAGTACAATATTTTATAATGTTTTGAAAAATGTAACTACATACATTGTATTTCATATATAACTTTGTTTTGTGTCAAAACTTTTGAGTGGGCACTTTTATGAGGTGAAACAGGAGTAATGTCCATAAGTTTTTGAAAAAAACCTTTAGAGGAAGACTCATTTGAATAGCTTTTAACAGTGATGCTAAAAAAACGCAGTGCTTTAAATTTCTTCGAAAAAATGTTTCCTATTAACAAAGAACCTTTAAATGTTGAGTTCATTTTCTGCTTAACTTGTTATATTTGTTGATTAATCAAAGTCGTCGTTCATTGTTTTTCTTGACTGGCATTGTTTATAAAGTAAATTCCTCCGCGAAAAAAGTGCCCACGTGCTCCGTGACGAGTTTTTTTTTCAGTAATAAGGTTAGGGTTAGGGTAAAAACACCCCGCGTTCGCCACGTGACCTAGTCATCGCCACTTGATCTTTAAATGAATCCTGTGCCTTTATTTTAAAGATATGATCTTGAAACTTTCGCCTTTTATAAAGCGATGATTGCTTTATAACTGACGAAAGTTTGACTATCCTAACTTTAATACAACGAGTTATTTGAACTCAGAGCTTTTCCCATAATTAACAAACCAACAAGAATAACTCCTACATCAAAAACCTTAATTGACAATATTATAACAACTGATGTTTTCAATAAATCTCTAAAAAAAGGCATCATTAAAAGTGACGTCTCGGACCACTTCCCTATTTTTTTCTATATTAATATCGACGCAGATATTATCTCAACAAAAACAAACTTTTAAAAAACGTTTTTTTTCTAATGATAATTTAAAAATATTTAAAGAACAATTATCTTATCTTCATTGGAAACAAATAGATACCTGTGCTGACGCTAATTTAGTTTATAATACGTTTTTTAAAACGTTTTATGAAATATACGATGCTAATTTTCCAAAACAAATAGTAAATAAAAAAGCTAAAAGTTTAATGTCACCTTGGATCACAAAAGAACTAAAAAAATCCTCTAAAATTAAACAAAAATTATACGTAAAATATTTAAAGACAAAAACTGAACAAAATAAAGTTCTCTATAAAAAATACGCTAAAGAATTTGAAAGACAGAAAAAAAAAGAAAAAAAAAATTATTATTCTAATTTGCTTGATAGAAATAATTTTAATTCGAAACGTACATGGGAAATTCTAAGAGAACTCACTGGCATGCAGAAATTCAAAACAAGCTCATTGCCTAAAACTATTAAGATTAATGAAGAAACAACATTTGATCAAATTGCAACAGCTAACAAATTAAATGAATATTTTGTATCAGTTGGTCCTAATCTGGCCCAACAAATTCCTATCTTGAAAAATAAATTGAATAATTATGTTTTTCCAATAACTTCGTTCTTAAACTCCTTTGAGTTATCCTTTGAGGAATTTGAACTTTCTTTTAAAAAGCTTAAATCTAATAAATCAGTTGGTTATGATGATATTTATTGCAATGTTATTATCGACTCGTATGGAGTCATTAAAGATGTTCTATTTCAAATTTTCAAATGTTCAATAAAACAGGGTATTTTCCCCGACAATTTAAAAATAGCCAGAGTTTCACCAATATTTAAAGGGGGGAATTCAACCAATGTTTCAAATTATCGCCCTATTTCGATTTTGCCTGTTTTTTCTAAAATTTTAGAAAGAATTTTATATAATATAATTTTCAATCATTTATCTTCAAATAATATACTGTATCAATATCAATACGGATTTAAAAAAAGTAATTCAACCGAACACGCTATACTCCAAACTACCCGCAATATTGTTGAATCTTTTGAAAAATCTCAATATACGTTAGGTGTTTTCATAGATTTATCGAAAGCCTTTGATACCATCGACCACAAAATCCTATTTAAAAAAATAGAGTATTATGGAATTAAAGGGAATATTTTAATGATTCTTAAAAGTTATTTAAGCAATCGTAAACAGTTTGTTTACAGTAATACAACTGTCTCTTCCAATTTATTAGATATAACATGTGGGATCCCTCAAGGTTCTATACTAGGACCTCTTCTCTTTTTAATTTACATTAATGATCTCCCTAAAGCCTCAAATTTAATGACGGTCATGTTTGCCGACGATACAAACCTTTTTTTAGCTCATAACAACATAACAACATTATTCCAAAATATGAATATTGAATTAACAAAAGTTTCTGACTGGTTTAAAGTGAATAAGCTGTCACTAAATGTTGAAAAAACTAAATGGATACTTTTTCATCAAACTTCAAAAAAAAAGCTACTACCTCCTGTGATGCCCTCACTTTTTATTGACAAAGTTCAAATAAAAAAAGAACAAACTACTAACTTTTTAGGAATAAATATTGATGAAAACCTTAGTTGGAAGTATCACATTGATTTATTGTGCAACAAAGTTGCTCGAAATATAGGAGTAATGTACAAGGCTAGAAATGCTTTAAATAAACACAGTTTAACACAATTATATTTCTCTTTAATCCATTGCCATATAAATTATGCAAATATTGCTTGGGGTAATACCAATAAATCTAAACTACTACCTCTTTATCGTCAGCAGAAGCATGTTGCTCGGCTTATCAATTATAAAGATTGATTTGCTCATGCCAAACCATTATTATTTCAAATGAAAGTTCTTAACATTTATCAGCTAAATATTTTTAATATACTTTGTTTTATGTTCAAGTGTAAAACCAACGAATCTCCAGTTTCTTTTCATAATCTATATACCTTAAAAGATAAAAATAAATATAACTTAAGAAATGATAATCAAATTCAGCAACCTTTATCTTTAACTAATTTTGGAAAGTCATGTATTTCATATCGAGGAGCTTTTCTATGGAACAAAATAGTTTTAAAAAATTTTGATATTTCCCATGAATGGAATTATCTTTCATTCAAGAAAAAACTAAAAGAAATTGTTTTGTCTTTTGAAGACATATTTTTATATTTTTAAATTCTTTTAAAAATGAATATGAAGTTTATTACATAAGGTAATATATAAATATTATATCTGATCCATAACTTATGTGTTTGTGAAAACAGTACTTTTTAAAATATTTTTGTATTTATATATAAGAGTATCAACAATTTCTTTATTCCAATTTTATTTATATATTATTACGAAATTTACATTCTCGCTAACTTTTAATACGACATTGTTTAGATTTTATACTTCATGTTAATTTAATGTACTAAATATTCACGAGCGGCTCTCGATGATAAGACCTGAAGGTCTTCTGCGAATCTCCGCGTTCTTTCTTTTTTGTATATATTTTCTTTTATTGTATAACAATTTTTATCTCAACTATCTCATTGTATAACTATATTGAATATTCAAGAAAAGAACAAAAAAACAAACAAAAAAAACAAAAAAAAATTAAAAGATTCATTTTTTTAATATTTTTTTTTTTCACACAGGATTCATTTAAAGACCAAGGTCGCATGGAGGACCGGCGCGTGTAGGTGTCACGTGGGGGATGTCATTACAATTCTTGCCGACTAAAAAAATAAAAATCCTCGTTTTTTAAAATTTGTTGACTGCCCTCCAACTACCATAACGACATTTGCCGATTGACTGTCTAAATTTACCAACTAACCTGTCAAAAGCGTCTACATTTGCCGATAAACTTGTCAAAAAGGGTCAAATTTGCCAACTAAATGAACGAAGAAATCATTGATGGAGGGTGTCACATCCCCATCGCGCTGGCCTTGGTCGCATGGCGAATACTGGGTGTTTTACCCGATGTTATTTTTTTTTTATGTCGACCAATTATTCATAAATGCAATACCGAAAATGCTGGCTTGAATCCGTATTTAAAATTTAACAATTATGTATATTGTTAAAACATGCATTCTTATAAGTATTATAAGAAAGTATTTAATATAATAAGCTTTAAGTTATAGGAAATTATAAGGATCAGATGAGTATGTATAATATATAAGTATACACAAATGATTAGTTGTTTGTTTATTTAAAATAATATTGTAAACAATAACTATTTAAATTGTCAATATTGACAATTAGTAATTGAGTATAAGTTAAGTGCTAATCGTGAACTTAATCTAAACTCAATGCCAACAGAAATATAGAAAATTTTATGTCTAAATTAAATATTAAATTTTAGATGTTAAAATATATTAAAATTTTCACCTGTAAGTCCAAGCCATTAAGTTACATATTAGTGTTATTACAACTGATAATCAAGAGAAATCAAACACTCTTAATGAATTTTTTGCTTCAGATTTTATACAGCATGTTTCATCAGAAGCTTTAGTATTTTTATTATTCAGAAAAATCTGATTAGTTTAAACACACACACACATTAGTTAGTCCTGATATTGTTTTAATGCAAACATTAATCCATTCAAGAAGAGCAATAAATTAGATCTTACTGATCGGTTTAATTAACATCAATTGTTTTCAAAATTATTGTTGAATTGATGCAAAGCTTTTTCGTCAGACCGTATTCATAGAGTGGTGATTGGAGAATATATTTCAAGTTGGAAGATGCTTACTAGTGGAGTACTGCAGAGTTGAGTACTCGGACCTCTTTTGTTTGTAAACTCGATTGATTAATCGAGAATTACATATTAAAGATTATTAAAGACATTAAATTATATGCATCAAATATATATATATATATATATATATATATATATATATATATATATATATATATATATATATATATATATATATATATATATATATATATATATATATATATATATATATATATATATATATATATATATATATATATATAAACAAGACAAACTTTTTAATTAATAAAATAATTTTATTAATTTTAAACAATACATGTTTCGACTATCACTAGTCATCTTCAGTTGAGTTTAAATTTTTAAATTTGTTTAAATACCTATATGGGTGATTTTTACAATACCAATACAAAATGTAATTATCTGTATACAAACTTTTGCCTCTCTTATAATGTTCTACAAATTCGTATGCGCAAGATGTAACTCCTGTTATGTAGGCGAAACTACTCGCCATCTCAAGACAAGAATAACTGAACATTATAAGAGAGACAAAAAAATCACATATCAATAAAAATCTCTATGGTAATGAAAATTGTTTTATACAATTAAATGAAAAGTGTTTTTCCATTTTAGATTCAGCATCTAAAATCGAATTAAAACTTAAAGAATTAAAACTTAAAGAAAGCATGTTCATAGAATGGTTAAAACCTGGTTAGAACAAACAAGTCAACCATGTCCAAATGACACTTTCTGTTTAGTTATTACTTTCTATGTAAAATTTTTATTAACCTATTCTTTCGTCACTTCCTATTCGTTCTTTTAGTATGAC